AGGCACTTCTTGTAAGGGGTTTCCTGCAACTGGCCTCACCTCCGTGGGGCTGGGGACGCTGGGGACAGGGCAGGTCATACCTAGAGCTACAAGGCCACCTGGCACTGCTTCGAGCTTCGGTTTTGAGGTCACTTGCAAGGAAAGAGCGTTTGCAGGAAGGTGGATGAGCACAAGCTGGTGTGATGGACATCGCAGGGCAGGGAGCGGTGGGGGCTGCACGGGACCCCCCTGCAGAGGAGTTTTTCTTGGAGCTGGTTATGGGCGAAGGTTTTCCCGCTCTGCCCTGGGAGCTGCTCGGAACCGCCCTCCGTGGGCACTGGGCTGTTTGTGGGAGGGATCCTGAGCGCCCCCCCTGCAGGATCTGGCCCTCCCTGCAAAGGGATTTTTGGAGTTTTACAGCCAGTGTTGGGTTTTTACACAAGATGTCTCATCGCAGCCATGCCAGCGCTGTGGGGACGGGCTGGGGGGTCTGGGCACATTTCATCACCCCCAGCTGGGACCCCGGCAGCTGCCTCCTGCCAGGCCTTCGGCCTTGGCTCTTCATAGCAGAACAGAGACGTGTGGGGAGTCTGTGGAGCAATGCCCCAGGTGGTCCTGCCCAGGGTTTATCTGTCAGCTGGGAGGAAAAGGCTGAGAGCAAGTTGCAGTTGAGGGACCCAGGCTTTTCCTTGTTTGACTTTAAAAGATGAAATTAATTTGCCAGCTCTGTGAATAATTAATGACTAATTCCCTGGGAACTCTGAAGTACTCATAGAAATGCTTATATTTGTTAAGTTGTATTTTTAGCTGCTGCTAGTTGAAGGAGAACAAGTGCTTTTCCCTCATTCAGTGGTTCTGTAAGATGTGGCTGTTTCACATCTCCTGAGGGTTTTTTTTGGGGGCCGTTGGACATACTTCATTCATAACAGTCAGGTTTTTATAACCCAGAAGCCTAAAATGCCATCCTAGAGTGCATATTCAACACCATCTCAAGCACAGAGCAAAGCAGCAGGGTCAGCCCTGAGGGCCAGTCGTAGGCAACGGTGATGGGGATGGTGCCCTGCATCCAGCCCCAATCCTGCCTCCTCCGGCCAACTCTGCACCTCTGGACTCAGCTTTCCCACCCATGAGACAGGTGGGTGCCACCCCAGCAGTGCCGCTCGCTGGCCCGGCGCTGAGGGAGGGCAGCAGCAGGGGAAGGGGAAGGCAGCAGCCTGGAGCTGGAGGGATGCTGTGCAGGGGCTGCTTGAAACCCTCCCTGAAACAGAACCTCATCTCTGCTCAAAATGTGCCCAGCAAAGCCATCACGCACCCCCAAACGCAGGACATACCTGAGCTAGCATCCAGGCCTCCTTCAGCCAGGCAGTAGCACCCACTGGGGGCAAGGCATAGCGTTGCTGTAGCCTCTACTTCTTCTTCCTCCTCCTCCTCCTCGGGTGTGTGCTGGGCTATGCTGGGGCCCACAGCAGCATCACTGATTCCCCCCAGCTGGGGAGGTGCTGCCTCTCTCCACCTGCTGCTGAGGGATGGGCTCGCTGCCCACCAGCACCCCTGGCCCCTCCATCAGTCACACGGGCCACCAGTGACCAGCGGGAGGATGGTTGTCCATGATCCTGCAAAGTTAGGACGGGCTTGGGTCTCGCCCGTTTGCTGGGAAGGGAAACGCTCGCTTGGCTGCCTGGATTTTGCAGTTGCCCCATGCCAAGAGTTGCTCGGCTTCTTGCAGGACGAGCGTGTGTCACAGCACATCGCTGTGCTTAAGCGTCCAGGGAGGGCCAGGGAAGCGAAGTGGGGTGGCGGTGGGGCTTTCGGGGCTCTCGGGGTGCTTCAAGGGCTCTCGGGGCTGGCTCAATGTGTGGGGCTGAGCCCTTTCTCCCTGGCCTCTTGCCCCAGGTGCGGCTGGTCATCGCAGAGAAGGGGCTGCCCTGCGAGGAGCGGGACGTCAGCATGCCCCTGATGGAGCACAAGGAGCCCTGGTTCATGCGGCTCAACCTGGGGGAGGAGGTGCCCGTCATCATCCACAGGGACAACATCATCAGCGATTACAACCAGATCATCGACTACATGGAGAAGAACTTCACGGGAGGTAAGGGGGAGGGGGTGGGCTGCATCTTAGGGGAAACTTGGGTCTAATCCAGATGCTGTTTGCCAAGTGCACCCACTTTGTCCTTTAAAGTTTCAGCTTCCCCCCAGAAGAGCAGCAAGTTACCAGACCTCCCCAAACTTCTATGTTTTCCCATGAAAATGAAGGATTTCCAGCAGAAATCCACAAATGTCCCTTGGAAGTGCTACTGGAGGGCTCGGGGGGGGTTCATAGCTGGGTCCCCCCCTTTTTCTGCCTTGGAGGCCACATTCCCAAACCGGACTGTTTTCACCCGTCCCTGTGGTGCATGGTGGCATCTCACCAGAGCCACAGCTGGCGCATTGCCCATGGGAATACTTCTGGGTTTGGTCATTTTTGTGCTTTGACCTCAGGTAATGGTATAAAAACTGCTGTAAGTGGCCCCGCTGAGACAAGGTGGGTTTAAGCGGGGTACTGCTGCCCCTGTCCCCTTCCTTGATGAGCCCTGTGTCACTGGCCATGGGCAGGGGCCCTGCCATCCCTGCTGCCACTGCACCTCAGAGAAAACTGCCTCTTTAAAGTGACACAAAGCCAGCAGTGCTGGGAACCATGGGAGGATGATGTGACACAAGCCCAGAGGAAGGGACAGCCGGGAGAGGGAAGCTCGTATTCCCCCCGGAGCAGGGCTGCAGTCAGCGGCCAGCCGAGCCCGGCACACAGGGATGCTGAGATGGCGCTTGAAGGCAGCAGTTTGCACGGCCACTGCAGCAAGCAGCCTCTTCCCAGCGTCTCACGTCCCTTTGCCCTCATTTCCCCAGCCCTGCGGGCTGTCAGGCTGGGGCGCTCCGCTGAGGAGCCTTCAAAGCTGAGCAGGGAGCTCGGGCTGTGCCATCATCCTCCTTGCAAGAGACATCAAAAACATCTCAAAATAACTCCCGAAGCAAGGGCGTCTTGCCAGCTCAGCTGCTGTCCTCTCCCAGTCCCGCCGCGGTGGTGCCGCTCGGTGGGGGCACGGTGCTCACTCACCGGTGGGGCAGCGGGGATGGGATCGGTCAGCAGGACC